ACACACACACACACACACACACACACACACACACACACACACACACACACACACGAAATCAATAAACAGATGATTTAAAAAAGGACCTGATGATGTATGTTCTTCTAAGAACAGATGAACTGAGGATGATTGTGAAAATGGTGATGATGAGAGACTCTGAGACACTAAACTAACTTAAATAAGCCCTGACAGCCAGATTTAACCCTTTGTATAGGGTCAGATGTCACACCGGATATCAGCTTGGTTTTCGGCGATGGCGGCATCCTTCCTGAACTCAGTGCGGCTCAAGCAGAACTGGGCCTGTCCCTTCTGCGGTGTGGACGGGTCTTCGGGGAGGAACTCCACGATGTGTGGGTTTTCGTCATTGCGACGGATGCAGCCTTTAGCGATGACGTGCATGATGCAGGAGAGCACATCGCTGGTGCTACAGCTGAAACGACCTGCGCCCGGAGAACGAGATGCATCCTGTTTCTGACACGATTCAAGAACCTGGAGGCGGACGAGACAAGATCACACAGAGAAATGTTAGAACATCTCACCTGAGCGGGGCACTGCAGGACATAATGATGGGACACAAATGTTGCTGCAACATGAAAATGTAGTTTTATGTAATTCTGGAGCTTCATTTCCCATGATGCTTTAACATGAGTTCAGAATATACTGAGTCAGACGATCAAAATAAAAGCTCCTGTTCTTTTAAAATAAAACCAAATGTCCATGTGACTGCGGTGTGACCTCTGACCTTAAAGACGAGGTTGTCAATGTGCATCTCCTTCTCCTGCTTCATGATGTGAACAATCAGACAGTAGATGTAGTTCCTCTTCCTCTCCAGCGACCTGGCCGCATCCTCGTCCACGTTCAGGTACGTCTGTACAGGCAGCAGCCGGAGCGACTCTGGGACACCATCCAGACTGCGAGACGCCATTTGCTGGTTCAACCTCAGCACACCTGTGGAGACAGAACAGACAGTGAGTCGGAGGAGGAGAGTGTGTAGGTGTAGGTGTGTGTGTAGGTGTGTGTGTAGGTGTGTCTGACTCTGGCAGGGATCATCCAGCTGGCTGCAGATCAGCGGTCCTCCCTCACTAATGAGCGGCATCAGAGCATGCAGAAACATGGCGGCTGACAGACCTGTCGCCTGCAGCAGAGCGTCCACCTGAACCTCCTGAAACACAGAGTCAGTGACATCACGACGATTGAGGACATATGAAACTGACCAAAGGATTCACATCACACTGACACTTTGTGTTACCTCCTGCTTGTTGAGTTGCAGCAGGATGAACAACTGCAGTGTAGACACGTGCAGCGTCCAGCAGCCGAACTGAAGCTCAGCGTGTCCGAGCCATGTCCACTGCAGCCGCCGAGGCTTTGAGTGACTCAGACCATACATGGACTGACCTGACGCAAAAACACAAACATCAATGGTTATGATGTCATCAGTACAATAACGCACACAGGAACAATAATAAGCTCATCATGGAGACCAAAATGTTTTCTCACTGAGAGGCTGAAGTTTCATGTGTGTGATCTGGTTAGTTTTAGGTTAGTTTCACATTGTAATTTAGGGACAAAAGAATTGTTTGATGTACGTCCTGTCGTCATCACCTATGTGGGCTGCGTCTACCTATACTTGACTCTCCCCTTTGTAGACGATGTCTGTACAGAGTTTTTTTTCCCTCTCTTTAATCAAGAGTGTGGTCTTTATGTTCAAGCGCATGACTTGTTGAATTTGTGTTCAGACTGTGTATTACTTTTCACCCAAACCCTGCCCTTGCACTAAAATGGCTCCTGTTTGCACTTAAATTTGCTCTGCTTCTGCTCAAACTGTGTGCTTGCACTCAGATATATTGTTGCTCGCACGGATTTCCTGCACTCCAGCTTCAGCCCTTCTCCGCACTCGGGCTGCTTTCTGTGCGCTCGTCTGCTCTTGGATTTCTCCTGTGCACTTGTGTTACAACCCAGTCAAAAGTCCCCAACCAATAGAATGCCAGGTGTCGTGTTGACCTCTGGTCGACCAATAAAAGGGACCATGTGATTCGTGCCTCATTGCGGGTGCTTTTGCTTTACTTCAGTGTGTCCCGTGCGGGCAGTTACTCTGAAGGGAAATTATGTCACTTAACTCAAAAGTTTAGTGGATTGCCAGCCAACATGCAGCAGCAAAGTAAAGGACCTCAAGTAAGTTATTTATTCATTTTTTTTAATTTCAAAAGTTTCATAACTGGATTCAAGTTTTGAGTTAAGTGACGTCGTTTCCCTTCAGAGTACCCGCCCACAAAAAAGCCAACAACACCTGGCATTCTATTGGTTGGGGACTTTAGACAGGGTTGTAACACAAAAAATTCCAAGCGCACAGGTGAAATCCGAGAGCAGACGATTCAAGAGCGCACAGTAAGCAGTCCAAGTGTGGAGAAGGGCTGAAGCTGGAGTGCAGGAAATCCGTGCGAGCAACAATATATCTGAGTGCAAGCACACAGTTTGAGCAGAAGCAGAGCAAATTTAAGTGCAAACAGGAGCCATTTTAGTGCAAGGGCAGGGTTTGGGTGAAAAGTAATACACATTCTGAACATAAATTCAACAAGTCATGCGCTTGAACTGAAAGACCACACTCTTAATTAAAGAGAGGGAAACAACCTCCATACATCTGACGTGGGCATGTTGTCAGTTGGGGGGGTACTAGTCTTTCTGTTTGAATGGAGCAAATGAAAGAAGCTTCATTTGGTTGTTGTGGCAACATTATGATGGTATTACTAGCAGCATCAGCACCTTCAGGCACAGTGCTACAGTACTCCAGTACATCACAGGACTCCACACTAGTTCAAATGCACTAAATGAACATCCTCGTGGTTCAAACATATCATCGGATTCGAAGACTGCAGCTGCTTCCTCTTCTTTTTCTTCTTTATGGTTTAATCCTGTCTCTACTTCCTGTGATTGGTCCTAAAGTCCAAACTATCAAACAAAGTGTTTTCACTGTGAACCAACAGAGCAATGTTTAGTTTGATCCAGACCCATAAAGTCTCTTCTGGTCTGAGGAACCTTTCACATCTGAAGTTCAGCTTCAGACTAAACTGAAGAGTCTGAAGGTCTGAAACAAAGCAGGTGTGAAAGAGTCCTGAGACTGCGAGGTCTTAAATGGATGGTTAACTATCCCTTTAACCCAGGTTTATAAACATAAATACCTTTTTAGCTCTGACTTGCAGAGTGACCTTGTGTGCTGTGAAAGGCGCCTATAAATAAAATGTATTATTATTAAAGTGTGGTCAAATTATGGGTGAACTGGAACTAACTGTGGGTGTAGAACTGGGTGAACTGGTGCAGATAGCTGCAAAGTTCGGGTGAAAAATGTTTTGCTGGTTCATCCAAGAAGCAGAGCGAGGACACAGCCCAACAACGAGGAGACAGAACCAGAACCTGGGCATCGGCCTCCTCCTCTGACTCCTCCCATTCCTCCGTCATCTACGGCAACAAGAAAAGGACAAACTGAGTTAAAATCAAATCTCCAGTAAAATTTCCACTGTTCACCCCACACCAAGTTTTTACATATCTCATTTTAAACTACAAAAACTCAACAGTTGGTGCATTAAATAAACTAAAATCAAAATGACATTAAAACAACCACGAGGAGAAGATCATATTTCCCACCTGGTCATGCTCCTGCAGGTGGCAGTCAAACTGCTGTAGCCTGTACAGGTGAAACTCCTGCTGCAGCTCAGCCGACTCGCTCAGATTCTTCAACATCTGCTGAGGGAAGCGATTCGGGAAGCAGCTGCCAATGTGATTGATGACGGCGCTCTCTAACCAAACATTCCCCTGAGCTAGCAGTCGGTCGCCCAGGTAGTACCTGAGGAGAGAAAAAGGGCTTGATGTCATCAGTTGCTGCGTTCAGACTCTCGGACTGTCTCTTTGCTGTCCATTGTCTAGTGGTGCTCGCACCTGTAGAAGTGTTCGAAGGTGTTCGCGAGCTCCAGGCCCGAGAGGAAGAGCATCGGCTCCAGAAACTGCTGTAGCCGCTGCAGAGTTGCCACGCTGCCGGACGCTGCGCAGCTAACCTGAATCATCTGATCGATGTACTGAGCAAAACGCTCACTCACCTGCCCATGAAGAAAACTGTGTCATCACATTGGAGAGATCAAGTAAGCCTGAGTTAAACCCAAGTTTAAACTGATCATAGGTAGAACAGGAGAAAGTGCTTCAGTTCATTTTGTTTTAGTGGGAACTCAAATCTAATCAATGATCCAGGATCAGTTAAACCTGAATCAAGCAAAGGTGCATTTAAATCTGACTTAAACCAGACTTGTCGTGTAGAGCAATGTAGGTCAAATGACCTGATTTATGAATCAGTAAATTTGATCCTAGAGGGAAACTGGTTGTTATGAGGCACGTTTGCTGCAAGACAATTTGTATACTCAGAAGATAAGAAGTCAAGTTAAACCAGACTTAATTCTGTCAGGACCTACGTGCATGGCTCGGAGGATGGAGAGCTGCAGCAGTGCAGCAGAGAAGCCGTGTCGAAGGGCGAGGACGAATGCTGTCTGCTGCCCAAACAGCTCCTCCATGGCGTTCTTCAGCCGCAGGTAGAGAGTCCGGTAACGCTCCACAAAGTTGGGATGACTGCAGCTCGACTCCAGAAACTTCTTCACCTGGGGGTGGGGGATTCAACATCTGGACCGAACCACACAACGATCCACTTATGTTCAGATATCAACATGATGTTCTTACCTGGCGCTTTACCACCCCCTGCCAACAGAGGGCGATGCCTGCAATGCTACTGCTACTTTTCACTTTGGGCTTTGCTGAGGAAGACGAAGAGGAAGAAGAGGCTGAGGTGGCGTCTTTGTTTTTACCATCTTTACCATCTGGAAGAGAAGTTGAAAATTGTTGAAGAAGATTGTCACTAACAGTTGAAACCAGGTAAATAAGATGAAAAAACAAAGAAAAAACAGCCAGAAAAATAAAGAGGGAGAAGCTGTTGGCGTGCTCTATCCTTCATTTCCATCTAAAAAAAAAACAAAACACCAGTGTCTCAGCTGCAACAGGAAGTGTGCCATCAAAATTAGAGCAGTCCAAATTTAAGGACAATTATGAGTGAGGACGCATCATCATAATATCAGCATTGTTTGTTTGAAGCCGTTCAGATGAGGAGGAGAAAGTGTCGCCCCCTACTAGACACCACAGGTATTACAATATCAGATCTTAAAGGTCCAGTGTGTAAGATTTAGGTGAAAGAGAACTATTGGCAGAAATTTAATGTAGAATAATCCTTATGATGTTTTTACTAGTTCGTTTCATCTAAATTGTATGAATTGTAGTTTTCTTTACCCCAGAAAAGGCTCTTTATATTTAAATACTTTATATTTACATGGAGGGGACCCTCTCTACGGAGGCAGCCATGTTTTTACTGCAACATGAAATTCTAACACTACATGTCACTAAATTCTACGCACTATACCTTTAAAAGCTGAAGTTTGAATTTGAAGCTGAAGATTAAATTTAAAAAATGCAGAGGGTGGAGCTGAAACATCGGTGTAAGTCTTTTTCTTCTTCACCATGGTATAAATAAACAAATTATTTAGTTTGATTATTTTTTAATGAAACAATTTGTCTGTATCGTGTTTTTAAGGATTAGAATTACTACAGTCAGCATATTCTCAGTCTCAATGTGATGAGCTCCTGTCCTCGTCTGGACATGTGAAATGACACAGAGCGGACGTGAACACATAATGCAGACAAGCGCCTCTGAATAGTTACTTACTCTTCTGCTCTTTGCTTCTGTTGAGACCTTCTGAAAAAAATAAATAAATAACGCTTTAAACATTGAGTAAAAAATCTCTCTTTAACCAGATGATATCATGTGATGAGAAATGACAAAACACATTAAAGTCAGACGCTTACTTTCCTTCATAATTTATATTTAAATTGAACTGCTGTGTCCCCCCCGACATGTTCCCAGGTCTCTATGTGTTCAGTGACAATTTTTTGTCAAAGATGTTCTAAACAAAGATGACAGCACAACAAACAGGATCGCTGCATTTCAGACTCACTCGATTTGACAGGCGGTTTCAGCTCTTCGTCTTCCGTTTGACTCGTGTCCACGTGAACCAACAGGTGTGTGAGACGTCTCACTCTGGAGTTGAAGATGGCCGCCCGACTTTTGCAGCGACAGGCTGACTCTGTGTTAACCAGGTACTCGCTGAGCAGCCAGGACAGAGGGCTGGACGCTGAGGATTCTGGGCAAAAACAGAGCGTATGCGAGGACCAGCTTCAGTGTTTAACCATGACTGTGAAAACCAAACTGTAAAGGCTAAACATTAATGTAAGAAAATTATTTTTAAACGAAATAATTAACAACAAAATTTATACATGACAAATGTGTATGTCGGTGGGTGTGTACCTGACAGTGTGATGCTGTGGACGATGGGGGTGATCAGAGCCTCCCAGCAGGTTCGACCCAGAGCTTCAGCTGCTTCAGCATCAGGAAGAAAACGATCAGCAAACATCTGTTCATGTCTCAGAGCGCTGTTCAGTCTGAACACACACACAGAGAGACAGAGACAGACAGAGAGACAGACAGACAGAGAGACATAAAAAAAAAGATTTTCAGATATTTCAATCAATTATTTTTCACTATTTACACTGTAAATAAAATTACATTTATATGTTTTCATATAGAAACTATACGTTTAAAAGCTGGCACTTGTGTTTTCTCTGGCGAGTGTAACACACACGCACACGCACACGGACGGACGCGCATTGAGTCCTGCATCAATGAACTAACTCAACTGTTCATCTCATACAACTTTACTTTACTTTAAGTACTGTTGTGCAGTAGCACTAGCATAGCATAAGGACTGGAAACAGCTAAGGCAGCTTAGCTAGGAGTTAGTAATGATATATTTCTGTCATATGACTGTATTATTACTACAGTATTATAAGTGCAGTAATCTTATTATTGGTGGTGGTGGTTACTTGTTGAAGAGCTGCAGCAGCTGCGTCTTGTCGTCCGTCACTTCCTGACACCAGGTGTGAGCCTTGGTGCTATAGAACAGGTACGTCCGACAACACAGCTGTTCCTTAAACACCGGCCAGAATGTCGGCTTCGGACCCAGAACCTCGAACCCGTGGACCCGAGTGTCGATCCCGCCCTGTTCCAAGGAGAAGGGGTCAGGATACTACAGAAGGACTTTGCTAAAACATGGACTGAAGTTTGTAATGGAGTATGAACTGTACTTTTACCTGCTGACATCTCTTGATCCTGATCTGGATGATGGACCAGAAGCGGGTCATGTTTTCCAGCAGAACCACACGACTGGCTGACGGAGTCACGTTCACCTGCACAGACACAGAAACACAACATGAACAGTTTATCTGTGTCTATTGCAACACATCTGTACCCATGGTGAAATGTTGATTTGATGTTAAGGCTCACAATGTTGAGCTCTGTGTTGATGTTGGTTGGGTCGTCTCCTCCTAGAACCAGAACCCGGGCCGGCATATAACTGGAGTCCTCGCTGGCCACCAGGATGGCCAGTTGCCTACACACGCACACACACACACAGTGAGTACACTGCAGTACTCACACATGTATCAGTATTAGCATTTGATCGTGTCACCTGATGACGACGCCTTTGTGCATGTAGACATTGATGAAGTGCGACCCCGTACAGCCGTTAGACTCCCAGTACGTTTTTGGGTTCTTGTCTGTCAGTTTGTTTGCTCGATGGTGATTGGAGGAGACCTCCACCTTCTCCCAGCACTTGTCCTCTTTCAGCTCCACACTGGACCCTGAACGCAGCACGAGGTCCAGCGGTCATAAAGCCATAACCATAGGATTTACCATTGTGTATGACTCTGTGTGTGAGTGTCTACGATGACATCACCATATTACTAGGTTGATTGTTGTGTGTACAGTATGTTTATCTCAGTTTTTAGAAACATCTCAAACATGAAGTGGATGAATGCACCTTGGCACAGGTTCCTGAGGAAGACGTCGAAGAAGGGGATATTGATTGGTTGATGGCTGCGGCGGTGCTCCTCGATCTGACCCAGAACCATCTGGCAAAAACAGCGACCACGTAAATGCTTCCCAGTTACCATGGCAACAACAATGTTTCTGTCTATGACTTTATGACCCTTCGCTGCCCCTCTGATTGGACAGGGACATCTCTACCCCGCCCCTCCCTCACTCTGTGGTTACCTGAATACAGCCGGCAAGGACGCTGGTGGTCATCTTCTTGTAAAGGCTGGCATACTTCTCGCAGTCGGAGATTAGGTCACGGAGCTCTGTGACCAGCAGCAGGTTTGTGCCGTGTTTGTCCAGAGCTTTCACCAGAGCATCTTTCATCCCCAGACGACACATCACCACTGCATAGTCTTTGTTCAGAGACGCCAGCCGGTAGAGGAAGCGTACGAACTGCTGGACCACCTAAGGACCAATCACAGGAGGTTAATATTTGTCAGCTGGCTGGTTTGAGTTTCCATTGTCACACTGTGGGAGTGCACCTCTCTGTCGCTGACGAATGCCGTCATGGATGATAGGCAGGGCTCGATGCTCTCGTGCCACGGCAGCACATCCTCCTGGTAGTTGTCCAGTATCTTGTTCAGGATCCTGCACAGAAAAAAAAAAAAAAGGGTTATCAGCATGACAACAATGTCACATGGAGGTCAGGCTGTGATTGGTCCGTACCTGAGGATGGAGAGCTGCACGGCTCGGTCGGCTCGGTGCTGCTCAATCAGACGAACCAGGTCCTGGTACGTGTCACGACTGTGAGTCACCTGATTAGCAAACACAGACTGATCAATGACCATAAAGATCCTGTCGCTATGATTATTACATTCAATTACTGTTCTGTTATCAAACATCAGGATGCAAAAAATGTGAAGACATCTCATGACAAATACTTAATATCTCAACCCTGTGTGTGTGTGTGTGTGTGTGTGTGTGTGTGTGTGTGTGTGTACCTGACTGCGTTCATCCTCCAGCTGTGAGGCGTCATCGCACAAAAGTTGCTCCAGAGTCTGAATAACCTCTTTAGTCGCTGTCAGTTCCTTCAGACTCACAACCAACATCTGGAGCTCAAAATCCAGC